ATTTCTGGTTCCCTAATATGACTTCCTCCATTAGGGCATACGTCGACCACTGCCTCCCTTGTAAAATAAATAAAAACCCTTCTGGAAAAAGGCAGTCGGCCTTACATCCGATAAATAAAATTGCAGAGCCATTCCACACGATCCATATAGACACTAGTGGTAAACTAACTGGCGGAAGAGTTTCTAAAGAATACGTAATAGTTATAATTGATGCTTTTACGAAATTTTGTTATTTATCCGCCGTCAAGGACTTAACGTCGCGATCGGCTTGTGAAGTTCTTCGAAACTTTGTTTACATTTTTGGCACACCGAGGCGAACTATTTCAGACCAAGGTACTTCCTTTACGGGACAAGAGTTCCAAAATCTTTGTAGAGAATGGTCTATTGAATTCCACGAAATCGCCAGTGGCCAACGGGCAGGTAGAGCGGATAATGTCTGTCTTAACTAACTGCTTCACAATTGCTGAGAATCATGAAAACAAATCTTGGAAGTCTGTTATTGGTGAAGTTCAGCTCGCATTGAACTGCACTTTATCTAGAAGCACAGGTAAAAGTCCATTCCAGTTGCTAATCGGCTGTAATAAGAGTCCACCTTGGTTAAACTGTTTCGCGACAGATCTTGATATTGATATCCAAAGTAATCACAATTTGGCAGAGATGAGGCAGGAAGCAAAAAGCAGGATGGACGAACAAGCGATAAAGAGTAAATTAAGTTACGATGCCAAAAAGGCTGAGATTCGCCCTTTTGTAGTTGGCGATTTAGTTTTAGTTCAGAAGAATCCCCGCATAATTCAGAAATTGAGTGAAAAATTTAATGGTCCTTGTAAAATCACAAAAGTTTGCCAGAATGAACGTTATGTGGTTGAGCCAATATCTGGAGGACGCAGTCAGTACGTGTGTCATGAACGATTGCGTAAATATCCAGCTAGTCTTCCGGAATCGTCCGAAAGTCTTGATTCAGTAAATCTACAACCACCTACACTTTGACTGTGATCCTACCGATAAAAGGACTCAATGTGGTCGAAGACCAATGTTATTGATTTTAGTTAGTAATATTTAATAGTGATCTTTACAGAAGTTAATTGGTTTATCTGATTTAATTTTTATGTTTCAAATATTCTGCTTTGTCATATTGTCTGATTGTTTGTTGAAATAAACTGCTTATGGTATATTGATTTATGAGATGGTTTTATTGAGGGCTGAAAGCAACAACGCTTTGCTAGAAATTGAAAGCTTTTTCGCTTTATTCAGCTGGACTGCTGAAAGCCACACGCTTTGCAGTGATGTTTTTGCAAGAGATTGAAAGCTTTTTCGCTTTATCCTGTTGGACTGCTGAAAGCCACCACGCTTTGCAGTAATGTTTATCTAGATGGAAGCTGAAAGCTTTAACGCTTTGCGGAATACCTAAAGCTCAATCATAAATTGGTATTTAAGTAATGTTGAAAGCTAGAACGCTTTGCGATCATGTTTGAGTTAAAAAGCCATAATAAATCATGTGCTGAACTTTAGTTGAGGTTGAAAGCTTTATCGCTTTGCTTTGTATTTTATTGGACCTAATGAGTTTCTAGGAACGCTTGACTTTGCTACTTTCTCCTAATGTGGACATGGTACTAAGAAACAACGCGAGAGCGCGTTGATGAGCAGAATGGCCGTGTCGGAGATTATGGTGTTATTAATTTATTCTGTTGGCAACACTTTTGTCTGTGACGTAACTGAATGACGTGAGTGACGTTGTCAATGTCAGTGTCAGTGTCAACCTTGTATCTGTCAGTAGTGCGTTTGATCGAGGAGCTCTCTTGCTCTTGAGACAGCGCCCGCGCCGGACGTGCGCACTGATCGATAAGAAAATAACATGGCGGACCGCGATGAAGAAATTATTGAGTCGAATCCGTTTGAATCTCCAACATATATATAATACGAAAATTTATTACTTGTAAAAAAATATTAATTCGTTTCTTAAAAACAAGACACACTTAATACAAGAAAATAAAACTAATGAAACTTTACTTGCTACTAGGCTTGACAAAATCAATAATTCATTTAAATGTCTTTGTGTTTGCTTATACAATAAAGTCCCAAGCAATATCCAAGAGTTAACCATAAATAATTTCAGAGATAGTTTAAAAAGAGCACTTATTAAAAGAGCTTGTTATTTGGTGTCTGATTATATTACAGACAAAAATGTTGTGGAGCTTTTTTCGCTCGTTTTTCTCATAAAAATCTGCCTTGGCTCTAGACGCTGCCAGGTGATATTTGTGACCTTTATCTAAAGCTACTTGCTGTAAAGCCTTTACCACTAAATTGGGAGCACAAGATGTCCAAAAGTCACAGTCAATAATCTTTACGTATTAATTGGCTCTTCGGGGGTTGACCTCCATACTATTCTTTGAAAATCCACATGTTTAGTGGCGACTTTAACTTGTCCATACATTTTTATAATATCGGCAACAAGACAAATTGGGTGAAGCCGCCATCTCATTATCGTGTGCCGCAATTCCGGCTGTAATTTAGGACGTACCATCAACGTATCTTAATAACTTCTGTCTGAAGCGTTGAATACTACCCTGGTTTTGGTAGTGGTTTTGTCTATCCTTATCACAGCGTGATGTGGAAGCCATACCTTTCCATCGATTTTATCTGTGTCATCCTCAACCAGTTCTATATGCTCTAAATCTAAATATTCATTTAACACATTACGGTAGTCTCGTCTCAACTGTTGATTTTTTGTAAATCTTTTTTCCAAAGATAGAAGGCGTTTTACTGCGATGCCTTTAGTATCTCCATAATCTCGACTTACATGTTGGATTTTATTTTCATCTATAATAGTAATGTGGAGATTCAAAATAACATTATGACAGCTTGGAAATCCACTTTCATTATATCCTCTGACTTGACCCGAGAGTACCCATCCGAAGTATGTATTTTGCGCGATTGTAGAACCCGTTGGACTCTTAATTAAACCTTCCTTTAAAATATTGCAATAAACTTCAGACCCTAACAAAATATCTATTTTATTAGGTGTATAGTACTGGGGATCTGCCAGTTGCAAACGACCGATCTCGATCCACTTGGGTAAGGTAAATATCTTTTATTTTTTATTTTTATTCTGTAATATAGAAGTGACTGAGTTTAAAACATGTGCCTTCACTTGCAATTTGAAGGATGCATCGTAGAGCGACTGAATATTGACCGTTACCACATAGTTTGTGGTTAAGTCACTCTTCTTCCCACCCAATCCTGAGATATTGATCTTAGAAGCAATCTTCCTCAGCCGTAACAATTGCACAGCTGCTTCAGATATGAAAGCCGCCTGAGATCCTTGATCTAACAAGGCTGTCAATATCTGAAGGTGACCATTTATCGACTCAGCTTTTATCAAAGCTGTGGCTAATAAGATTTGGTTATACACATTTCCTGTTAATAAATAGTTAGTTATGTCAGTGGTCTCATTCGCCGCAATGGACGATTCCGGTTCATTTACTACATTCTCTGGTGTCTCAGTTGCTACAGCTACAGTAAGTGAATTAGGTTTGCCATGGAGTGATGTGATGTTTACCCTTGCATATGCGACATTTAATTAGAGATCCACATATTTTCCCTGAATGATTTTTACCTAAACAATTAAAACAAAGACGAAGCGACTTAACTATCTCATGGCGGTTTGCTACATCTTCTTTGGAAAATTTGCCACAAGCATACAACTTATGATTTTCATTACAAAGAGGACAGATGACATCGGCCGTAACGTGTAAAACCATTAGGAGCGGAAGTATTGAATTTTGGTTTACTCCTTGCAGGCTCTACAAACTCCAATGCGCGAAAACGTGACTCTATAAATTCGTTAAAATAGGATGGTAAATCTGCAGACAAATCGTGTGCATGTAATTCCCATTGCTTACGAGTTTCTGGATCCAATTTAGAGCTAACAAGATATATAATTAGAACATCCCAATGTTTCACCGGTATATCTAAATTTGACAATTCATGAATACAATCAGATGTGGTATCAAGAAGATCCTTTAAACCTTGAGCAGATTCACAATTCATAGTACGCTGACCAAACAACCTCTTAAGTACACAATTAGATACATACCTTTTATTATTATATCTGTTTTGCAATAGTTCCCAACATTTTGCAAAATTAGTTTGTGTTATAGGAATATTTTTAATCAATTGTTCCGCTTCACCTTTTACTTGCGTCTTTTAGTAGTGAAATCTTTGAACATTGTCCAGTGACGAGTTGTTAATAAAGTTCTTGATTAATCTCTCTTCGTTCTCTAAGAGCTTCGCTTACTTTTGCTGACAAGGGGGAGGAGGGGGTAAATAATTGTAATAAATCTGCTTACGTAATACTTGAACGGCTTTCACTTTTTTTTCACTGAACGCATTTCACTTCGGTCATGGATGTTTATACACTTATATAATGTATTCTATCCGTTACCCTAGTATCCCATAACACAAACCTACAGTGCTTACTTTGGGGCTAGGCTAATTGATGTGAGTGTTGGAAATATTTATTTATTTCCTTTATTAATTTATTGAAGTGAAAACTTCTTTAGCGGCGTTGTACACTTTTTTTTGTATGGGTAAAAAATGTTAAACTCGCGGGCTGATCGCATCACGACATACTATAATATTGGAAAGGTTGTTGACTTTCAATATATTGGAGGAAACATAGTAATATTTTATCGTATTATAATAATAAGTCTCTATCTAGAACGACCACGTGGCAGCTTTATTACGAAGATTTTTCTGAGAGATAAACTTTTATAATGTAATATAAATTGTCATGTTTGTGTACGATAGTGCAATAAATAAATATTATATTCTACCACATACATGATAGTACTTTTATACTGATAATTAAAGCAATTCGTGCAAAATTATTTCCTAACTATTCCAAAATATCAAAAATGCAAAACGTTAATATTGAAGTTTTCACTTCTGCGAGCACTCCCGGAGTGCAACCCGTCGTTTTTTTTATTAATTTCAATACTGACCTTGGCTCGCATTATGCGTTCCGGAGCAGTAGAAGCCACGTCGACGCCTTGAGGCCATCCGCGCCCGACCAATTCCACCGTGACTCGCGTGTTCTGACTCACCTGCGATGACAAAATATAATCATCAAAAGACTCTAAGCTACATGTTGTAAGGTTTTGAATGATTTTTACTATTGTAAATATTTATACTACATATAACCTTTTTTTAACAAAGTCGAAAATTTAATATTTTTAAAAACAGCCAATTTCATTTTCGAGAACAAAAAAGGCTGTATACCGATTAGGGCATTCAAAAACCGGTTTTCTGGTTTTCATTAAAAAGACCGGTTTTCCGGTTTTTCTTTTAAAAACCTGTTAAATCGGTGTTTCCGGGTTTGTGTCAATAAAAATCAATAAAAACAGTAAAAATGCGTGCATGAACTGGGACAATTCCTCGTAGTATGCACCATAAAAGAGCCTGTAGAAAACGAATAGGCAACCAAAGTCCCTGCGCAGTTCTAAAGGCTCCAGATATTCGGCTAGCTTAGGTTCCTTGACAATCCTAATCACGCGTCCTTGTATAATAAAAAAAATGGGTGCGTGTACTTATGTAGGCGCGTGAGAAGTTATCCTTCTTTGGCATCGTTTAAAATTAGTTTTTAATTGCTGCATGCAAATAATTAATTACAATAAATTAATAAAAAGTCTGGAAAAGGACACAGTCAATAAAGTTCAGTTTTAATTTGAAAAAATAAATAAATAATCAAAATATTCAATTAAAATCGCTACTGAATATAATTTATTAGAACATATGTGATTTGCACTTGTATGAAACTCAAACACGTATTCCGAATATACAAACTAGAAACATGTGGATAAATATGAATACCTATAACTGTTACTTTATTACAAAAAATAAAGATGTGGTTTTTGGTTCTACTACACCAATGGTCAAGAGATGGCGCTGTACTCTTCTGAATCGCGCTTTGGTTCCGTTGTTCCAGATTAATAAATACTTTTGATAGGCCTTCACAATGCAGTCTTTAGCCCCCACTAAATGGAGATTCTATTTCTATTTTGTTGGTAGATTTTCTTAATATGCGGTAAACACAAAAGTAACGCATGAAGTTGGTCGCTAAAGCGACTTTGTTGGTAGATTTTCTTAATGTGCGGTAAACACAATCATTTTTTCATAACGCGCCTAAAGAAGTATAACTTCAATAATAATAAATTTTATTTTCTTTAACACTGGTTTAGTTACATTATATACACATGATTGAAGCCACCTTTTAAGCAAATAATGCCTGTGACAGGTGACTCCGCTCTTCCATACCTAAAATAACAGTTTGCTTATCGATCTTTATGTTTAAACAAAAAGAGGGACTTATAAATGTAAGCACATATATCAAACAATAATAAATCTTTAAATTTTTACATGGTTTTAAAATAAAAATACGAGTCTTGTGTATTTTTATATGTGTGTATTAATGTCGAGTGTGTATATGTGTGTAGGTACAACAAGGTAGCTCCACAATTTTAAATAAAAAATCATTATTCTGACGATGCAGACCTGAAAAGGCTGCGAAACGTCAATAAATAAATAAAGTTTCGTGCATTAACTCGTAAAAACTAGTTTTATTTAATGAGTGATGTGCGTGAAAACCTAAGAAACAAATATCATCATCATCATCATCATCAACCCATGTTCGTCCACTGCTGGACATAGGTCTCCCCTAATGCACGCCACTGCTCCCGATTTTGTGCTACTCTCATCCAGCCCTCTCCAGCCAGCCTACGAATATCATCGTCCCGGGTGCGGCCAGAGTGCACTCAGATTCAGAGTCAGATTCAGATTCTGAAAACAAGCGCGAGAAATAAACAGTGTAGTCGAAGGTTACGGCCAGATTGCACTCCTGATTCAGATTTAGATTCAGACTCAGAAAACAAAGCGCGAGAAAAAGCAAGCAACCTGCTTAGACTACACTGTTTATTTCTCGCGCTTGTTTTCGAAATCTGAATCTGAGTCTGAATCTGAGTGCACTCTGGCCGCACCCTCAGGACGTCCTACACCAGTGTTGCCAACTCGGATTTTGAAAATGACGTAGGTCCGATGAGAAAATTACGTAGAATTAGTAAAATTTGTCTATGAAAGTTCGTAGATCTACGTACTTTTTTTTTTGAGTAAAATGAAAAAGTTATGATAGGTGAAAACGAGTATTTTAGTATACAATTTATTTAAAAAAGGAAGATAGAACATAGAGTTCTAGGAGAAGTCGCTGCATTGACAGCATTTACTATGCTGTGGTAGACATTTACCATCAGACACAGACACTGGTGACTGTCGATTCTGGCGTGATTTTCTAAACTTAAAACTTAATTAAAGATCAGTCTCTCCTTTTCGTTATGTATAGAAAATGACAAAGATACACTGTTGTCAAACAGGCTAGTTGACACTTTTTGAAAATACGTTTTAAATGGTTAATAATTGTGCAATAGTTTTTTTTTTCAGTCTATTAAAACTGAAAAAAATGTATTGTATTTTTTATTAACCTAGAAAGCTACAAAACTTTAATTTTACAAAAAGAGGTTATGGACACATTAAAACCCTGTTGGCCATTTTAGTCTATAGATTTATCTATGCTATGACGTCAAAACCATTTGTAAACAAACACTCGCATGCACATAGGAAATAAACTATATGAGTTTATATTAGAAAACCATAATTGCTAAAAGATTACATAAAAAGTGTAGTAATTATCATGATTTAAAGACTCCAGAAAAGTTGTGGTTTAAATTGCCTAGAGAAATATATATACCTACACATGAACACATGTTTAAAACTTGCTAAATCCTATAACTTTATCGACTAAAAGTCATTTCTTTTTGCAGAGATCTCTTCGATGTAAGTACTCGTTGAATAAAAATTAAATTTTAAAATACAATTTTTAAGGTTATGAATGTACCTACTAAGTCGAAGAGTTTTGTCTTTTCTGCTTTCACAAATCCGGCGTCCAACATTAATTTAGTCAACAAAATCAATAAACGTAAACTTTTCTACAAGAAATGAGTTTTTAGATATATTTTAGTCTGACGAAAGAAACTATAGTAAGTGCTACTGTGGTTTCGGACAATGACGTTTAGTTGTTTACAAATATTGTGATGTCACAATCATAGTGGAGAGCGTTTTCTGTGTTTTAAAAGTAAAGACTGAAGTGGTGGCGCTGGCCCACCACTCCTGTCATGTTTGGTTGCGCTCAATAAATTTGCTCATAGTCCAAAGACTGATTGCAAATAATATATATATAAAAAAAGTATAGACTAAAAAACAAATTTTTCAAATTAAATTACTACAGTCATCTTCTAATTTTATGAAGTGAAATCGATGTATAAGGTTCCTCATACCAAAAATTAAAAGAAATATACATTTATAGTAACGGAAAATATGCTACTGTATTCTAGTGAGTTATGTTATTATGCAAATTTGTACAAATTAAAAGAAAATACGTAGATTCTGGGACTGAAATTAGTAGGTTTGCAGAAAAGGCCTAAAATACGTAGATCTACGTAAAAAGACGTAGAGTTGGCAACACTGTCCTACACTACGTTTACCGAGTCGTGGTCTCCACTCAAGAACTTTCCGGGTCCAACGGCCATCAGTTCTGCGGCTATTGTGACCAGCCCACTGCTACTTCAGTTTGCTAATTCGGTGGGCTATGTCGGTGACTTTGGTTTTTTGTCGGATTACATCATTTCTGATGCGGTCCTTCAGGGATACTCCGAGCATAGCCCTTTCCATAGCTCTCTGAGAGACTTTAAACTGGTGGACTCGTCCAGCCGTGAGTGTCCACCGAATATACCGAACCGAAATACCTGCAAAGTAGAGTGGCAGGTTATGGCCCTTCCGTCCTCCTGTATGATTCAATTCAAATTTTGTTGTCTTTAAATGTTTCAATATTTAGTTTTTAACCAAAATAAGGTTACTAAAGTACGGTCGCCGGGCAGATACAATTTCGTACAATGACTCGCACACATACCATGAGTACTGTGTGCAAGCGAGACAGCAACATAATTGCGCGCGAGCGATAAGGATGGGTAGCGTGGGGTCATTACCCCCTTACAATTTCGTATAATGGTACGAAATTATTTCGGCCTGGCAATCGTACTTTAAGAAATAGCATAAATAAACAATCTAACCTCTTTTTTCGGTCCCTCTTTAGCGATGAATCCGCAGGAGAAAAACCTCGGATGATCCAGCAAAAGCTTGGCAGTAAACTTCGTTCTAGTCATCACATACAACAGTATTCCGAAGAACATAAGCATCACTACGTGCAGTAAGCTCTTGAAGTACAGGTAAGCTTTGAATTGCACCGGGCGTTTGTTCTGAGTCTCGTAGAGGTAACGTTGAGTACGATAAACTATGGAGTTGTCCGCACCCATTAATGGTATGCACCAGCCGTTATTGTATCTGTGGATCCTGGACAAAAAGGTTGTCTTGGTTGGTATTTAGCAAAATTGGGCTGCCATCTTGTAAGCAATGAGGGTGTTTAGGACAATTTAAACTCAAACTCAAATCATTTATTGCAACCATAATGTGTACAGTGGGTGGTAGGTACCTGTATAAATGAGCATTATGGACCCCGTCGGGCACGCAATTGGTTATTAGAAGAGAGGATGCGCTTCCCAAAAGAACAAAACCAACAGCAAAATCATAATTGGATGTTAGAGATTGTTTCATATGTTTACTTTTGATTGTTATAATTGGATTTTTATTTAGATTATCACTGGTGCCAATTCTGGCGTGATTCTCTAAACTTAAAACTAAATTTAACATCAGTCTCTCCTTTTCATTCTGTATAGAGAATGACAAGGATATACTGCTGTCAAATTTAAGTTTAGGTTTAGAGAATCATGCTAGAATCGACACCACTATCTGATTTAATTATAAAAAAAAAAAAAACACAAATAAAATAAAAAAGTAAAATAAACAATAAAATCAATTATTTGTACATGTATATTATCATTAACATATTAATTTACATTATAATAATATTTGTTAATTAGAAATTCCTTTAATTTATTTTTAAATGGCAAGTAATTATTTTCATTCATTATTGTATTAGGCAATTTGTTATAAATTTTAATAGATGAATTAAATGTGCATGATGATGATAGTTTTAGCCTAGAATTAGGCAATATAAATTTATTTTTGTGTCGAGATGTGTATCTAGATGTAATGTCTTGTCGTCTAGTGTAGAATTCGCTATGCTTGCGTACAAACTTGCACATTTCCAAAATATACAAACACGGTAGTGGAAGTATCTGATACTCTTGAAAGTATGGTCTACAGCTCTCCGTCTGCTCGATGTTGGCTATGATACGGATCAACTTCTTTTGCATGGTAAGCAGCAAATTTACGTCACGAGTTGGAGCCACTGTGACAAGTTGGCTTTTGTATGGAGTTTTTGGCACGAATTAATCGAACGGGCGTTTAAATCAATTCATAGACTATGACGACATATGATTTGACGGATGAGTAGATCTTTCGTCTCAGTACTGCCACCTGGGGGCCAATCGCCTAACGGAAATGCTTTGGGAAACGCTAACGCTTACGATTTTATATTGTTATTTCTAGCCGCCTGAGGTTTTCGAATACCTCACGCTCATTTTTTTTAATATTGTTATTACCAATGCAAAAGAAAAAGAAAGAGCGCGAGGCATTTGAATACCTCAGGCGGCTAGAAATAACAAAATAAAATCGTAAACGTTAGCGTTTTCCAAAGCATTTCCGTTAGGCGATTGGCCCCCTGGCACCCGTCAGAATTTAGCCCGTATTTAGCTAGAATGTATTGCCATCTTAGTTGGAAATTATGCGAGTTTGTGGCTTGGAAATTTCATCTACAAGTTAATTACAAATCAAAATTTCGTTTAGGCACGGTAATAATATCATACAGTATTCTATCTTCATACAAACGGTCGGAAAGCGAGTCATACCTACGCCACTCGAGTTCGAGGCACTCTCGGCGGGCACCCAGTCGCGAATGCGCCGCCGCGCCGCAACGATGACCGAACGGTGTGAATTGTTTTTTATGCAGTTAGCCGTGCTTAAACGTGCGTTTTGTATTGTAAATATCTCTTATCTATTAGACAAGTCCGTCCGTCCGTCCGTCTGTCTGTGGTGCTGTTTCAGCGGTCAAACCGTAAGAGATAGATGAAGAGAATGTTTAAGTTATAAGTTAAGAATAGTCAGATAAGACTACAAACCGGATTTGAGTAACGTAGCACTTCCGGTTTTCAAGAAATCACGAATTTCAAACGAAACCACACAAAATCTCCGAAGTTCTCAATTAATTAAATACATTTCTTTTTTTTCTTTCTTTAAATCAGGTTTTGGTGAACATTTGGTTCACTGGTTTGCTAGTTTGATTTAATTAAGTAGATACCTACATAATTTAGTATGGAAAAGAACAAAAGACGATCAATATCGTACAACAGCACAATTGCTGTTTTTGGTTGCTTGAACTCTTCAATAACACACCCAGAGATATCATTTTTTAAATTACCTGAAATATTGGAAAGGTGTCTTATCTTTATAGAATATTTTTTATATACCTATCTACTAGTACGTAATTTGTTTCTAATATTTAGGTATTTCGGTTTTTCCATCGGGCAAAATATCTGGAATAATATATAAATAAGTGGTTAGGATGAAAAAAGAGACAAACGAGTAATCTACCTTCACTCGCGTTAAAAACAAAACTACATAAAATACTGTAGGCGGGCGGCCCTACCGCGTGCTAACGCAGCGCTCAGCCGTAGGCATTTATTTTCAAGGACAGGGCGGAGTCACAATACTGTATAGATAATATTACCGTGGTTTAGGTATCTAAAGCAATAAAATATTTTAAAATGATAAATGGCCTTAATAAGAGACTTCATATAAATTTATTATTATTTAAATTGACATGGTGCCTTTTCTGCTTTAATGACAAGGAAAGAGACAGCACTAACTTTAATCACAGTCAGAAAAAACTTAAATCACACTGTGCTGCTGTAACACTTTATTTTTAATACAACATTTTTAAACCAGAAAGAAAATATTTAAAACTTACCTTTTCTGCAGTTTAGGCTTGAAAGTGGGCATGCGCTCTGAATACAATTTCTTCCTGAGAGGGGCAAGCTCATCCCAGTGAATCAAACTGAAACAAACGACTAAAATAGAATCCTGCTTTCCTCATCTAACTAATATTATAAACGCGAAAGTGAGTATGTAACGCTTTCACACAAAAACCACTGAACGGATTTGGGTGAAATTTAGTATGCACATAGTTTGTAAGTAAAGTAATAAAGAAGAAAATATAGTAAAATTAAAGAGGAGCTCGATGGCGCCAGGGCACGTTTAGCCGTTGGTCCCGGCTGCATCTGCAGTCGTTAGCACCCACCAACCCGCACTGGGCCCGCGTGGTGGGTCATGGCCCAATCTCCCTAATCCATCCATAGGGAAGGCCTGTGCCCCAGCAGTGGGGACATTAATAGGCTGATGATGATGATGATAGTTTGAGACATAGGATACTTTTTATTCCGGAAAAATTACGGCCTCTTGTGGGATTCTCATAAAACTAAAGTAATCGCGGACGAAGCCACCGGCCTCCGCTAGTAAATGAACAAATGAAAAACAAAATAAAATGAAAAAATACCTATGCACGATTGATTCCCAAGTTCCATAGTTGAAGTAGCCGTTTGCCTCTTTCTGGAACTCCGGCGGTAGCGATGAGCTCAGGTAAGATTCCACACTGTTTAAAGTTCCTGTTGATAACCAACATAATATTATCACCGTCACTTAACATCAGGTGGGGTGGAGTCTTTTGTCGGACCTATATACAAAAAAAAATCATTCCCGTCTGCTTCGAGTTGGCCGTTGATGACCGTCACAAAATGTGTAACAGGCCAATCACAGGCACAATAACTGCTACCGACCAAAATGGTATTTGAGAAGTTTTAGAAAACGATCTCACGTTATTTACTTATGTTAACGTAGTCCATAAAAACTGGATATTCATAATTCTGTTGAGTATTACTTGAATAAAAACTACTTAAATCCAAAATTGCCTTTTTAAGTTACCGCGAAATCGTTTCTCTGGGCATTATGGCGTCTCACTAGCATGTGACGTCACAGCCATGCCATTAAAACGTCAAACGATACAATGTAATGTCACTTTGAGCGGAAGTTTTTAGCGTGTGACGTCATTTTAGTCTTGTCCAATCCCAGGCGTCTTCGGCCATGTAACCAATTTTTTTTTAGTAAAGTTTTTAATTATGTATTTGTTTTCTTAGAATTGTCAAATATCCTGCAAATACATGAAATATAGATGAAAACATGCACACGCACACAACTATGTAAAATTGTATCATTTGGCGTCATAATGACAGTTGTTTAACCTCACATACCAGTGAGACGCCATACTATCCAGAGAAACGGTTTCGCGGCAACTTGAGTAAGGAATTTTTTATTCAGTTTTTTTACTGAAATACACATTGGTGGGGAACGGGGGTCTTCGGTACTCCTTTGATAATAAATCGTTTAATTTATCGTTTAAACTGGTTTATTCGTATAAAATCACAATATCAAATTAAATGTTAAAAAATGCGTGCCGGTTAGTATGGTAGTCGAGAGCTGTGTGTGACGTATAGGTTCCTTCACTCGATTCTTCGCGTTCGTCCGCAGATGACTCACTGATGGCGATAGTGGTCGGTAACACAGATAAGACAGAATAATGAATATTCACTTTTTATGGACTATTCTTAAATTTGTGAAATGCCCTATTCGCCAGGTGACAATCAATGTGTAGCGACAGGAATGGGAAACATTTTTTTCACACCCGACTCACACATAGACAACTCTTAGACAATACCCACCCGAGGCCAACGCACGAACTTTGACAGACTCATAATAGCATCTTCATCGTCAAATTTTGTATGGAAGGAGCCAGTTTGTTTATGCGTCTGGTAGCAGCGTCCCCTGCTTAATTTTCATAGAAACGTTTAGATTAGTTAAGATTACTTAGTTGTCAAAGTTCGTACTTGGGCCTCTGAATATACAGGTGATCCAACTAGTGACGTCAACAATTTTTTTTAGATTTCTGGCACCTGGGGGTATCCGAATATACCCCATGTATGTTCCGCGATTTTTCTTAGTTTTCGAGTTATAATTTATTTGTGTATTTTTAATGATTTCTGCCAGCGAGGTTTCAAAAATTCATATCTTTTTTCGTAGTAGGTATTTTGCAGTCTTTTTTTTGCGACATAATTCTCTTGAATGTTGTTTTAATAAAAAAAAATAACTCAGCTTCCTGAAATTACTTAAAGTTACTCAAAAAGGCCTGTAAGTTGGAATTTAAGTTTTTAGTAGGATTTACTCAAACATTCAACTTCAATTTAAAAATACAAAAAGGAGTTTCTATAGCTTCTGGTTAAGTTTAAAAATTCCGCATGCTTTTAAATTGACAAAAATCATAAAAAAAATAGTACTTAATCAGCCTATTTTTGTTTTTAGCCTTCGAAAGCGGATAGGCTAAAAATCATTGAAATACGATTAAATCATTTAAAATTATTTTATCTACCTTTTATCATTGTTATGGTAAATTAAACTTAAAAATGCAATTTCAAATTAAATTTAATTGAAATTCCTGTAAAATAACTTTAGCATGTGTAATTGTATAATAATTACGGTTTCACTACTAAGATTTAAGGTGCGGCGGTTTACCCAGGTGCGAGGAATCTAAAAAAATTGTTGACGTCACTAGTTGGAACACCCTGTATACGTAACTCACCTTCAAAGTTTTGCTCCAGGTATATAACGCCCATGTCGTTGGGAATACTATCGACTCCGCACGCGCTTACAATGTAGACACCGGCGTCACGCGCTTGCTTGTCGTACTGGATTTGCATCAACTCTATGAACTACAAGATAAATATTATTGTTAATAAACTCATCATCAAACTTACTTCATCATCAGACTATAGATGTCCCCGCTGTTGGAGAACAAGCCTTCCACATTCATGAAATATGATTGTGGTAGACACGGGATTGGTGGAAGTTAACGACTGCAAATGCTATTAGGACCAACGGCTTAACGCCACGTTCCGAAGCGCGTAGGAGCTCGCGATAATTATTTTTTGGTCAGCTTCGCAATGGCCGGCTTAACCTCTACTATCGCATATCGAACACCCATGTACTTAGCGCCAACGGGATCCGCAGCTAGTCTAAAAATCTGCCTCATTTGACGATTCAAAATCCGAACCGGCAAAAGATCATAATTCACCTGCGGTTCTCCGCTAACATCTATATGATGAGCGAAATATTCAACAGCGGCCTTGACCACAGGCTCGCCGTACAGCCGGTAGGCACCGCAGCAAATCATCACCACGCGGGTCTGCGTGCACATAAGACTCGTAATCGCTACAAACAGCGAATATGACAATCATTTTGTCGCTCAGCCTAAATGCAGTTCTTCAACTGAAAGAACAGCTTAACTGCTGCTGCTATTCTGCATAGCATCCGACGCGTAGAACGATTCCAATGATGTGTCGTTAGGTAACTTCAATACCATTGTGAAAACATTTTTTTTTGGTAAACGTGTACCTGCGGACTTACCCAGTCTAACCTTGTAGTTCAAGTCCTCCTAAATCCTCAACAAAGTCTAACTTGGGGATCCCCGCTGACATCCATTTGGTTAGCGTCAGATTTAACAATCGCATTAACGACCACAGGCTCGCCGTTCAGTCGGTAGGCGCCACAGCAGTTCACCATGATGAAGGTCTGCGAGCACATCGCCTTCAGAGACTCGCAGTTGCCACAATCCGCAACTAACGACCACAGCGTGTTACTCTGTCCTTCAGGCTGCAGCTAGATCCTCAACTCTTACCTGCGGCTCCGCGCTGACATCCACATGGTGAGCGCCACACTCAACAGCGGCCTTGACCACAGGCTCGCCGTACAGCCGGTAGGGTCCGCAGCAGTTCACTACCACGCGGGTCTGCGCACACATCGCCTTCAGAGACTCGTAGTCGCCACAATCCGCGACTATCACCCTCACGCCGGACAGGTTGGCGTCTGAAAGCGGTCACAAATCATTTAAATTTGGACCATGTTAACAAAAGAAATACGGTCGTCGGGGTCGTAATAATAAGAGCAGGCGATGTTGGGCATTTCTCGAAGAGACCGAATCAGAAATGAGGTCATTCGAAGAACGACAAAGTTACCTGACATCGCTTGTGTAATTTCCCGCAGCAAATGGAAATGGGCGGGACATGTCTGTAGACGCGAGGATGGCAGGTGGAGCAGAAAGGTAATGGAATGGAGGCCGAGAACCGGACGCAGAAACGTGGGGCGTCAACCAGCCCGGTGGACAGATGACATCATTAGGATAGCCGGAGCGAAATGGATGCAGTCTGCCCGAGATCGCAATAGATGGAGTGCAATGGAAGAGACCTTCACTCAGCAGTGGGTGGATAGTGGTTGAGGAAGAAGAAGAAGAAGAAGAAGAACAAAAGAAATTGGAATTATAATGCGATTCAACTAAGAATAGGACCGACTGAGCCGCCATACTGTGACGTCATATCTGTCAAATCAAAAAATAAGTTTTTATTTAATAAAACTCTATTTTCTAAGATTAAGTGAGAAAAAACATCTGATTTTTTTAATAAAATTTATTTACTAAGATTGAGAAAAAAACAACCGATTTTTAATAATATTTATTTATTAAGACTGTGTGAGAAAAAACATAAATCAGAATCTAGCTCTTCAATTCCGCTCATCTCTGCATTACCGCCGGAGAAGTTATGAATAATCTTGCACTATTACTAGGTCACATACGAACATGCATCCTTTATGTAAACGAAAGTTTTAAATCGAGTTTATGAACGCAACTTAAAATGACATATGGTTGACGATTTAGGTTATCAACCAGTCATAGCCAAAACTCAATAAGTGAAAAAAAAATATCAAACCATTTTAATTAACAATATTTGTTACTGTTTGTTTACAAATGTTTGGTTTTTATTCTAGAACTAGCGGTCCGCCCTCGCTTCGCTTCGGTGTAGAGCTGAAGTATAGACTACAGTTTTTGTTGTCAGGCTTGTATTATACACAATGACATTCATCTATGATTCTTCTTATACCTGCATGCAAAGTCTCAGCCCGATCGGTTTAAAATTGACAAAGTTTCATACAAACTTTCATTCCCTATTTTATCCCCTTGGGGGTAGAATTGATCAAAATCCTTTCTTAGCGGATGCCTACGTCATAACATCTACCTGCATGCCAAATTTCAGCATGATCCGTCCAGTAGTTTGGGCTGTGTGTTGATAAATCACTATGTCAGTCAGTCACCTTTGACTTTTATATACATATGTAGATAATAACGGTCATTTTTATTACCTGTATTTATAACCAAACTAAAATTCTCATATTTCCGTTTTCCAGTACTCATTTCTACACGTTTTACATGATTTATTTGCTAATTTTGTTTACAAATGTTTGGTTTTTATTCTAAGATAAGCACGGATTCTCAATATCAATTATTGTCTGTCAATAAGGTCGAACGCTCTGAACGCATCAACAGCCAAATATTGAATGAAGCTCGCTTTCTTTTTTTTTTTGTTTCCTCCCAGGCAGGGGAGCGGGTGTGAAATCCTCATGGATACCCTACAGCCGGCTGTAGAGTTATGTCAGACTCTTACTGACTAAAACACACCCGTGGGGGGTGCCTATGGCCTTAGGGGCCTTACAGGCTTCATCTGATGCGATCAACCCCTGAGAAGGGGATGATGCAGCGCTGCCTTAGTAAATACTACTGCATAGTGCGCTTAGAGGACGGATGCACCCTGATGTGCATCCGTATCGGTTTGGGACTGAGCGACTGAAGGTCTCTCAGGATCGGGGGGGCGGGGAAGCTCGCTTTCGGACCTCCCGCCTTTTTATACCCTACCGCGCCGCCACGACCCGTGTCGAGCGCGGCAGCCGTTACACAAAAATAATCCTTAAAGCATGATTCAGTATTCACGTGCGACGGCGCGATGGCTTATTTCATGTATAAGTTTGGTGTTTCTATACCGATTTCTATGATTCTTTTTTTATTGAATAGGTAATAATGTTAACTTTTTTAAATTAGGGATGAGTGAGAGTATTATAAACGTAAGAATAAACAAATATAATCAGAATGCTCCGAACTGCTAAGCTATCAGGAGTTACACGTATTATTGTGAGTCAACCATAAAAGATAGACATATGCTGTTGCAGGATATTTTTTAGACAATTTTATGTAGAATATTTCCGTCATACGTAATTTCTATGTAACTTTAACCATTAAGGCTCCACACGCGACGGAAGCTTAAAAAATGGAGTAACTTCTCCCGTTTTCCCAACATTTCCCTTCACTACTCTGCTCCTATTGATTGTAGCGTGATGAAAAGTATACTATAACCTGCCCAGGAGTATGAAGAATAATTGTACCAAGTTTCGTTAAAATCCGTCGAGTAGTTTTTGTTTCTATAAGGAACATACACACAGACAGACAGACAGACAGACAAAAATTTTACTGATTGCATTTTTGGCATCAGTATCGATCACTTATCACCCCCTGATAGTTATTTTGAAAATATATTTCATGTACAGAATTGACCTCTCTACAGATTTATTATAAGTATAGATTAGCTGAGTGCTAAAAAAGGGTTCCAAGACTTTTTTGCAAACCGTACTTTTCAAAGGACATTTGAGAAATGGAGGTTGGCTTTCCTATTCTTATTTGAATCGTTATCTATATGTGGATTATTTGAGTCCTACCGCCAGTTCAGGACTTCGTTTAGCTAGAGAGAATAATTGGCTGATAAACTCCACAACATTAGTTACCGAGGGCGTTGCACATTATGTTATTTCAAGTCAAAACACACCACTCCCTTGATTAATTATATATTAGGTGAATCAGATAAAGCTCTTCATTTTAAACGTAAGAGTAAAACTCCTACGAATCTAACTACACAGTCAGGTCATAAGTATTGTCACACAGTAAAAACATTTCTTTTAGAATGCTGACCACAAAAAAAAAAATTGAATTCTAATTTCGAATTGTTCATAAAAATAAAAATGTATACTTTTTAGAATTTTACTCATTTTTAAATATGGAGTGGACGCTTAAAGAAGACCGTGTTGCAGTTATTGCGTTGCATCGTTGCGGTTACGCGCCAATTCAAAATTTTGACATACTGAAAAATTTGAATATAACCAAAAGATTCGTTTATCGTACCCTCAAACGATACAATGAAGACTCTAGTGTAGATGACAGGTTAAGAAGTGGTCGCCCTCGGTCTGTCAGGACTCCAGCAGTGATAAAAGCTGTGAATTTGAAATTCAAAGAAATCCCAAACGTAAGCAGAAACTGTTGAGTCTTCAGATGGGATTAAGCAGAACCACGGTGAAAAGGGTGTTAAATGAAGACTTAGGGCTTCGAGCATATCGAAGAAAAACAGGAGATCGTTTGAATGCTCGTCTAATGGACCTGAGACTGAAGAGATGCCGGGCTTTGTTGAAGCGGTACGCGGGAAAAAAATATCGGGAAATTCTTTTTTCGGATGAAAAAATTTTTACCGTAGAAGAGAGCTACAACAAACAAAATGATAAGGTGTACGCACACAGTAGTGAAGAAGCGAGCAACCGTATTCCGCGTAGAGTTGGGCAGTGGGAAAAAACCCAATGGGAAAAAACCGGGTATTTATGTGGGAAAAAACCCAATAGACGGGTATTTTCATTATTTAACATAATTATCACGATCTTAAAAAAAAATTTTAGAACAAATGTAGCGAAAAATAGGTACTTTGCAAGGGCGAAGCCTCCTTAGAACACGACACGATTCCTGCCGGCTTATCTAGCCAGACTCTAATATATTTACATTCAAGCACAAGCGAACATTGACGTATACGTTAATGCAAGCGACATAATTACATTGCGCGCTTTGTAAAAATATTCTTTAATATGCTGGATACAAAATACGCAATGCATTTGATATCGCGCATACGCACACAGATCCGCGCCGTAGAAGGCTGGATAAGCCGATTACCATATTGGGACTTCAAATAAATAAAATGTAAGCACTTCACGCACAAATACACATTACTACCACATGCAACCAATCGTCGATACAACAGCGATATAACCTGATCTTAGATAGCCTGCAATCTTTATTTGTCATGTGTTAAGGCTCCGTTTAACTTGAAGTTTTCGGCCAATCGCAGACACCTAGCGCTCGGCTCTGTTGACCTGACGTAGTGAGGCCATTATTTCGCGCGCATTCGCATGGACGGATTCGAATGCTAATTTATCTATTGTGATAAGTGATTAGCTTCATTGTGGTATATATGTAGTTTAACGGAATCGAAAGTAGTGAAATTTTACTTGCCAAGTGTTGCGTATAGTGTTTGTTTTATTTCACCTTAAAGGTTTGTTTGCTTTTTTTTGTTTCTTGCCGTGACGTAGGAGTGGTGGCATTAGGTAGTACAAATAGATTGTTGTCTCACAGATTTCCTATTAAATGAGTTAACTTCATTCTCAAAACATTCGTTTGAAAATAAAACGTGGCCATGGCCTTCGACTCCCTCTACCCCGTAAATCCCTTACTGACGTGATACTATGTATGTACGTAGAATAGAAATAAATTAGTGGTATTTCTGCTGGGTTTTTATTTGTGATGATAATGCTGGCAAGTTTCCCTTATTTTGGTTCTTTGTTTTTCTATATATTTATTTATAATCTGTGTATGAGTGACGTGTGCTTTATACGGTTTTTTGAACGCCACTTTTATCATAATCGACATGGACTGTTCATATAATACCAGTGATGTCATGTATGGTGAAGGTGGTGAACACTAACAACTATACAGCAAGCATGTTCTGTCGCATGAAAAAACTGCATACAACGCAACGCAAGCACCACACCTAACATTTCGTTGTAGTTTTGGGAAAGGTGTACTAATACACTATTATAAGGTAAGTAATTTATTGCATGTATTTTTATAAGTTAAGATATGACATTTTGCTTATTCACACGTTAGTCGTTTTTTT